CTACCACCCCACACCCCACCACCACCACCCCCAGGCTGATGGGAGCTGCCCTTCCCTGTACCAAGGGTGAGTTTAGGGGTCCATAAGCACTGGCTGGAGGGATGGTCTATGACAGCTCTGACCTCCATCCTGTTTCCCTCCACCAGTGGCCAGAGAGGGACAGAGAGAAGGATCTTTCCAGTCTGTTCCCCTGAGATCTCACTCAGACTCTCAGATGCCTTCCACGCAGGGCAGGGGCCGGCAGAGAATGAGGTGACAAGAGGGAGCCAGGGACCTGAGACCTGTTCAGCAATCAACAGAGGCCACCGACCCCGACATCCTCTCACACTTCACCCCTGCAAGTGCTCTCCATAGCACCTGGGACTGCATTTGGCCCTCACCACCCCATCACACATGGGTAAACTGCATTCAGAAGGCTTTCAGACCCCTGCCCCCCCAGGGCCTCCTGCGGCCTTAACACTCAGAGAGGTCCAAGTGGAGACTTGGAAAGGATGCTGAGTGGTTGCACAGGCCAGAGTTGGAATCTTGCCTCCTTCTTTCTGGCTGTGTGACTTTGGGCAAGTCACTTCCCCTCTCTGAGCTTCAGCCTCCTCATCTGTAACATGTGGAAAGTCCTGCCCGTCTAGGGTGGGTTTACACCCCATATGCTCTCCCACCTGCCGTGGAACAGGACAAGGCGGCCACTCACTGGTTGTCCGTGGGGAGCTTGAGGTCGTCGGGGCGCACCTTGAAGAAGTCGAGGAGGTGTGGGCAGCGGGAGATCTTGACGGGCAGGCCCATGAGGGCATTGCAGTACTCGGTGAGCGTGCTCTGGCGGTTCTCGGCTGCCCGCTGCCCGTCAAACCACCTGGGTGCTGGCGGGATCAGGGGGGGGCACCAGAGGAACAGTGAGCACATTCCCCAGGTCAAGTCCAAGGAGGGGTGGAGGAGGAGGGGGCAGCCTGGAGGGCGGGCGAGGGCAGCGGGCACAGGCAGCCCAGCCCGGGTGACTCAGCCCCTCACCTGGCAGGTGGGGGATGATCCTGTTCTCTGAGTTGATGTCCCCGGCCTCAATAGGGAACAATTCCTTTAAGGCTTTCTAGACAGAAAAGAAAGTGTGAAGGACTATCTTTTCATTACAATATCGGAAAAGCACAACATTGGAAACAACCTAAATACCCTTCTAATCGCTCAGGCTACAAACTCTGTTGGTGTCCTTGATTCCTCTCTTTCTCTTCCACCTCACATCCAGCCACCAGCTGATCTTCGGGTTCTACTCCAAATATCTACCCAGAATCTGACCCTTCTCACTACCTCTACTGCCACCACCTTGGTCCGAGCTTCCACCAGGCCTGGATTTTACAGCCTTCTTATGCCTTTTGGGGAGGAGAGAACCCAGGTGCTCTCTTGAGAGTGGCAGCTGCAAGCTCTAGGGTCTGAGCTTCCACTCTTGCCTGTCCTCAATCCAGGACCCAGATGGATCCTCTTAAAGCCTAAACTGGATCCTGTCCCTCCTCCGCTCAGAGCATTTCCTGCCTCTCAGCTCACTCAGAGTGGAAGCCAAAGGCCTCATGTTGGTCTACAAAGGCCCCACTAGACCTGGCCCTGTCCACCTCACTCACCCCTTCTGCCACCACTCTCCCCCTTGTTCACTTCGCTCCAGCCAACCTTGAATACTCCAGGCCCACTCCTGCCCCAGGGCCTTTGCACTTGCTATTCCCATTCTTCCCCTACATGTATCATGTGTGCCCCTAAAGAATGCCCCCTAGAGTCCATGTGGAATGGGCACAGAGTTTCTGTGTGGGGAGATGAAAACGTTTTGGAGATGGATGGTGTGATTGTCATGTGACATTGTGATACTTAATGCCACTGAGCTGTACACTTAAAACGGTTTAAATGGTAAATTTATGTTATGCATATTTTACCACAATAAAAAATATATTAAGTAAAATGTATCTTAAAATTTTTTTTAAATGTCCCCTTAACTGTGGGTTGGTGAGGGCAAACTCTGGGCTCCTCAGCCCCCAGCCAGCACCTGGGTTGCTCTCTTCCCCAAAAGGCAGAGCTGGGGCTGGGTGTCCTGTGCCCTCCCTGCCCCCCTGCCTACTGGGCACTCACATGGAATTCATAGATCTCGGTGAACCGCCGGTAGACCACCTTCTCAGACAAGTCATGCCACTTCACCAGGAACATGTACACCTGGGGGTAGAAGGACCCAGTTCAGCTTCCAAGGGAGCCTCCCATGCACTCGGGGAGCCCCCCGCCCCCTGGTGGAAGCCTGAAGGGCTGGAGATGGGACGCTCTATGGGGCAACCTGGGCCGTAGAAAGGACACCAATTTCATGAACCCTGGAGCTGGGAGCTGCCACTCTCCAGGTTTAGGACCCAGGACAAGATGATCGGCCTCTCCTACTAACTCAAATTCCTCACCAGTCATTGGAGAGAAGAATAGGACCTCACCCTAGTGCTGGTATGAGAGTTTCAGGAGATAAAATATAGAAAGGGCTGGGCTCAAACAATACAGGAACTCAGCAAGGTATTGTATGGTTCCACGTATATAAATGTCCGGAATGGACAAGGCTACGAGAAAGTAGGTTAGTGGTTG